TGCCCGCCATTGTGCCGGGTGGGGGTAGGGGAGGTGCAGGGAGCGGTGGTGCATCGGTGAGGGGAGGTGCACGGAGCGGTGGTGCAACGGTGAGGGGAGGTGCAGGGAGCGGTGGTGCAACGGTGAGGGTAGGAGCGGTGGTGCAACGGTGGGGGTAGGTACGGGGAGCGGTGGTGCATCGGTGAGGGGAGGTGCAGGGAGCGGTGGTGCAACGGTGAGGGTAGGAGTGGTGGTGCAACAGTGAGGGTAGGTCCGGGGAGCGGTGGTGCAACGGTGAGGGTAGGTGTGGGGAGCGGTGGTGCAACGGTGAGGGCAGGTGCAGGGAGCGGTGGTGCAACGGTGAGGGTAGGAGTGGTGGTGCAACGGTGAGGGTAGGTGCAGAGGAGCGGAGGTGCATTGGTGAGGGGAGGTGCATGGAGTGGTGGTGCAACGGTGAGGGGAGGTGCAGGGAGCGGTGGTGAAACGGTGAGGGTAGGTGCGGGGAGCGGTGGTGCAACGGTGAGGGGAGGTGCAGGGAGCGGTGGTGCAACGGTGAGGCTAGGAGCGGTGTTGCAACGGTGAGGGTAGGTGCAGGGAGCGGTGGTGCAACGGTGAGTGTAGGTGTGGGGAGAGGTGGTGCAACGGTGAGGGTAGGTTCGGGGAGCGGTGGTGCAACGGTTATCACGCTACTCGACGAACCGTACAACTCCCCGAGTTCGATTCCCGCTCACGGTCATCACCAGTGTCGATTTATCTGAACCGGTCCTGTGCCTCCCCTAGGTCGAATCAGCCTCAAATGAGCACCTGATGGCTGTGTGTAAATATTGTATATCGCCACTGGGGGAGACAAAGGCGGTCGGGCGTGGTTCTGGCCACCCACACCCCTCCCTCGTATGAAGGAGGAAGCATTGGCTGCTTCCATAATAGAGACTTTTTATAGTATGAGTCTTGTGGGTTGACTCTCCAACACACTGGGTGTGATAAACCTTATTAATTGTGGGGTTTAACGACACGATATTTACTCGATCTAACCCCCCCCCCCCCAAAAAAAAACAAACCTTTATTACGGAAAAATAGTCGTCGCGAAAGCCTCCGTGTTAAATTGTCTGCTTATATAATTAGTTCGTAAATACGGGGCTATTGTGGATCGGCGTAGTTTTGTATCCGATGAGGCGTTCGTACCTTACTTACGTAAAAAATAATCCCTATTTGAACGCCAAGGCTCTTAGCGCTCTGTGTACGCCTTTCTTATACTGCTAATAAAAAAGGGAAGCGTTTCTCTCTCTCTCTCACGTGAAGCCAGCACAAGGCACGCGAATGTGCCTACAGTGCCGCCACTTGCCTGCGTACAGAGAGAAAGAGAGATGAGATCGTTCGAGGTGGGTCTGTTGAACCCCAGGCTATTATTTGAGACTCGTTCCCATCGTTTCAAGGCGTTGGCCACACACACGCACGCAGGCAGACACATACATACAGTACCGAATTGTTTTGATTTCACAGACAACAACTGGATATTCTAGATTTGAAGCTTTCGTGACTGCAAGGATTCATACTCTTAGTTCTTTCGTGACTTTACCTGAAATAACTAAGAGTAACAACTGGATAGTTTAGATGGGCCCTCCCCCCCTACCCAAAAAAAGTCTGCCAATAAAGTTACGTAGATCTCACATCTCTATCTCTCTCTCACACGCGCATTCCAGATTATTCTAAGACGTAACCTCCAGCTAAAAAGCTTTAAAATAGAATACGGTACGTGGATACAGACGCGCCACGTGCGTTCTTAGCTCGCCAATCACAGATCCACACACACACGTGGGCAAAGCGGGGAATGTTTTCTAAGCTCAGCCCAGGACAGCTCCAGCTGAAATTAAGTACACGCACAGATTTCCCCTCGCATTTAATTGCGGTAGATGCGTTTACAACAAACAAATATAGAAAAAGAGGTCGTTTGAAGCGAAATCCGCACGAGGAGACAGCTTCCTGCCTGCCGCGTGGCGCGCACAACACACACAATGTTGCCCCACGTCCGACCCGCATATGAGTGAATTCACACCGCACATAGCGAAGTTTGGGTAGATACAAAATCGGTTAAGCCCCGTGTTCGTGAAATCGTACAAACCGAAACCCGCATAAAGCGATTGGAAACCGGTGTTGTACGTTTAGGCATGCACAGGTTATACGCTACCGTGGTTATAACTGTGAGAATGACTGGACTTGACATCCTAAAGGTCGCCGGGTCGATCTGACCTCGCGGCGCGGCAGCAGAAACATTTGGGGGCGTTTTTTTAAAATCCCCCACACCCCGCTCAGTATCCTCCACGCAGTGGACAAAATTGGTGGGGCAAAGAGTGGGTCACCTCCACCTCTTCAAAGGTGGTTTGCCAGCGTTGACGCCAATTTTGCAGCCTTTGCCAATCCACCGCTGGATGAAGGCCTCCTCGCGTATACCTCTCTCGTAGCTTACACCGGTACTGTGCACACAAACGTACACACAACGTACACACAAACGTACACACACACGTACACAAACGTACACACACACACACCAGGTGTCAAAGCAAACGAACACCATCTGTAGGAGACTCGGGGACATATTTTTCTCGTGAGCTGAACTCCCAGAGAAGCCCCTGAACACGATTATAGTTAGGAAGGTAAGGGGCCATCCATTTAGTGCGTACGCATGGAGGGGGTTAACCCAAATGCGTATGCTACTGACAGACAATGTACGTACGCATAGGAAACGGGGGGGGGGGGGGGGATGAAGCCTCGATAATAACACTGGTCAACACACTTTTTCTGGCATAAGGTATTCCAACGGTTTTAAGGTAATTTTGGGGTGCTGATTCCAAATCTGGCATCAGTTTTTGTCTATCACATGAGGTTTTTGAGATATCAAATATTGCATTTTCAATTAAAACTGCAGAAGAAAAATATTAAATAAATGTGGATATCTGCATAACATGATATTATAAAGACACTATCCTAAAAATACAGCACCATATTTTAACACTAAAGCAGTCACTGACTCGCAACAACTTGCAATCATAAGTGACAGAGTTAATTTCGGGTAAAATCAATGAAAATGGGGTATGCCGATAGCATAAAAATTAGATGTGATAGAGCAAATCTGAGATCAGATTTGGAATCAGCACCCTGAAATTAGTCTAAAACAGCTGCAAAAGTCCAGGCCAGAAAAAAATGTTTTTTTTTTGACCAATGTAATTTGCCTACATTGGCCTTCAAATGAGCCACAGTTCAGTTTCTTCAGCTGTCAGACAACAAGTACCACCGGGAGAAGTGGGACTGTGGGAGAGGTGTCACTTGGATGCCACCGTGCCCCGGACCGCCAGCTATCACACAGCTCAGCAAAAATAAGTCGCCAAGGTACACAATTCTAGATTTGAAGCTTTCGTGACTTGAAACAGCAATTTTGCTGTGACGGTTACACCTGAAGACGGAAGCTTGTGTTGCCTCCGAAACGTCGTGATTTAATTTATTTGTTTTCTTTTTAACCTACGTGACTTTACCGAAAAAAACAAAGAGTACAAGGTACGTGACGTAATTCTTTAATGCAGCATTGATCGTTTCTGCGTGGATTAAATATCGGCCGTTCTATAGGATTCGGGGGGGGGGGGGGGGGTCAGGCGTACGTACGCAGGTGGGGGGAGGGGGGGTTGTAAGTAGTCCGCGTGCGTACAGGGAGTCAAGTTTTGACAGATTTTTGCGTACCTACTCAATGGATGGCCCCTAATGCATTGACACAGAACGGGCAATATACACGCGTATGTAGACACACGCAAAGGGTTAAACACACAACAAGTCGGCTGCTAAGGGGCAAGTGCTGCTAGCGAGCACCTATAGTGAAAGCCTGGCTCGGCTACGGTTCAGATAATAATGATAATCGACACTGATGTTAGCCGTGGTCGGGAATCGAACCGGGGTGCTTCGGGTTCCTAGGCGGTAGCTCTACTGTACACGCACACACACGCACGTGTCACACGTGCGTGTCAACATCTACAAAGACAAAGATCCCCCGTATAGCCTTAGACTGTAAGGGGGCAAATGCTACACACACATCACCTACACACACACACATCAACGCATACGTATGTACACACATGTAGATAGACACGCCCATGTAGACACACGTGTACACTTACGTACAGACACGCAGACAGGCACAAAGACAAAGATCCTTAACAGACTTTTATGGGAAGAGCAGGCCGGCAAGGCACACGAGGGTGTGATGGTCAACACCGGCCGCCTTTGTCTCCCCGGCGGTAATGTTTACGCACACCGCAGAAGGTCCTCGTTTAAAGGTTAAGTCGACCTAGGGAAGGCCCAGAAAGACCGGTTCCGTCAGTGGTCGCAAGCAGGAATCGAACTCGGGGAGTCGCCGGGTTTGTCGCGCTAACCGCTGAACCACCGCTCCCCCCCCACCACCACCACCAATGTACACAACACAAATACAAAGATCCCCCGTATAGCCTCCACAGACTGTGGGGGGTGTGTGAGAGAGGAGGGGGTGGGGCAAGTGCTGTTGGCGAGCTTCTATGAATGCCGGCACGGCACACGAGGTGGGGTGGATGGGTGGCCACCAAACCACGCCCGGGCCCTCCCCCCCCCCTCCCACTTGCTCAGTGGCGATTTTGGCTGCACCACCGGAACCAGGCGCTTCATTTGAGGCCGAGTCGACCTAGTTGCGGAAACCCGGGACGGCTGTGTTGACGACAGCCGTAGACGGGAATCGAACTCGGGTGAGTGTACGCCGGGGTTTGTCGCGCGGCGCGCTAGCAAACAACGCGCACACTCGCTCAGATACGTACGACACACAGACACGTGGACGCACGCATCACGCACGCGCGCGCGCGTTGGTGTGTTTGTGCGTAGCGCCTGCGCCGTTCTGTTCGGCTGCTGCTGCTGCTTGTCCAGTGGTCGCAACGCCCGAGAGAGAGAGAGACTGCCCCCCCTCCGTCCTTTCACTTCACGCAGGCTGCTGTTGCTGCTGCTGTAGCTGCTGCTGCTGTTGTTGTAACTGCGACTGGTGGTGGCACAAGAGGTGTCCGTCCTCCGCACAAATAGCTCAGCGCTCTCCTCCTCCTCCCTCCTCAAGTCCCCCCCCCCCCCACCCCATCATCATCATCCGGCAACGTCGTCGGTGGAGGAAGAGGCATCTGAGAAGCTGCCTCGGTTCTTTGGAACACGGTGAGGTTTGTCTGCACGGAAGAGAGAGAGTGGTTCGTGGTTGTGTGTTGTTTTTGCTTTGGGGAGGAGAGGGGGGGGGATTCAACATCAGCCCCGGTATGTGTGTGTGTGCACGTGTTAAGGGTGTATGTGGCCGGTGCGGCGTGCTGCTGCCGCTGGGGAGACAAAGGCGGCCGGGCGCGGTGTTGGCCACCCTCAATAGGTGCTCGCTAACGTCACTTTTCTCCAGCAGCCCGTCAAGAGGGACACACGCTGTGGTTATTTCATTCTGCTACGTGCTGTATCTTTTACCTGTCCCAGGCAGCCCGTGTGTTTTGTACGGGAGATCTTTGCTAGCGAGCGCGTGTGTGTGTCTGTGCGTGTGTGTGTGCGTGTGTGCGCGTGTGTGTGTGCGTGTGTGCGCATGTGTGTGTGTGTGTGTGCGTGCGCATGTGTGCGCGTGTGTGTGTGCGTGTGTGCGCGTGTGTGTGTGCGTGTGTGCGCATGTGTGTGTGTGTGCATGTGTGTGTGTGTGCGTGCGCATGTGTGCGCGTGTGTGTGTGCGTGTGTGCGCGTGTGTGTGTGCGCGTGCGCGTGTGCGTGCGTGTGTGTGCGTGCGTGCGTGTGCGTGCGTGTGTGTGCGTGCGTGTACGTGCGTGCGTGTACGTGTGTGCGTGTACGTGTGTGCGTGTGTTTATGTCACACATCTGCGCGTGTGCTAGATGAGAGAGGCGACCTTAATAGGTGCTCGCAGACTTGCCCCCAAAAGTCTCCGGGGATAATCCTGTTCACGTTTTTTTCTCTCTGTCCTCTCTCCGCACGTTAACTTCGCACGTACGTACGTACGTGTGTGTGTGTGCGTCTGAGCCGGTTCTGGGCCTCCCCTAGGTCGACTCAGCCTCAAATGAGCTTTTGTGTGGGGTATGCATGCGTAGGCGTGTGTGTACACGTGTCATTTTATACGTAGCGGGGGGGGGCTACGTGATATGAGCTGTAATCGAATGTACCCATGGCACACTCGAGTGCGTGTGTGTACGTGAACGTCTGCACACAGACACGCTTGCTTAGGTATGTCCGTGGATATTGTATACGGTGTGTCAATACGTATGTTATAACCTACATAGCGTGCATATTTTTTTACATGCGTGTGGACATTGCGTATATGCAAGTGCTCTCATGTACATGTCACTGTCATTTGCCCGAGCCCCTGAGTGTGTGTGTGTGTGCTGCATCGGTATGTGTGCGTGTGTTTGTCAACATATTCACCTGGCGTGTGATTTGAAAGCGCTAACAGATGCTGCCTGTGTATGCGTGCGCGTGTTTATATAAATGTGTATGTGGTTGTGTGTTTTTATGCACGGGTCCTTGACATTGTATCTAACCGGGCGACCCGAGTTCGATTCCCGCTCACGGCCAACACCCGGAACCGGTCCCGGGCCTCCCCTCGGTCGACTCAGCCTCGATATGAGTACCCGGTGCGGTGTGTAAACATCGCCGCTGGGGAGACAAAGGCGGCCGGGCGTGGTGCTGGCCACCCACCCCCTCGTGTGCCGTGCCGGCCTTCATAGGTGCTACTCGCTAACAGCACTTGCCCCAGCAGTCTGTGAAGGCTACACGGGGGATCTTTGTCTTTGTGTCTATGCGTACGGGCGTACGGGGAAGCGGTGGCGTAGTGGTTGGCGCACTGCGCAACGAACAACAGCGCGTCGGGTTCGATTCCCAAGATCGGTGAGCAAATAGCTAAACATCTAAGCCTAGCCATAGGTCGACGCAGACCACTGGGGAGACAAAGGCGGCCGGCCCGGGGGGGGGGGGTGATTGCCGTCATAGGTGCTCGCTGAAGAGCGCTTGCCTACCAACAGTCTGCCTGGCTGATCTTCGTCCAGGTGTAGCCTTAACAGACCTGTTAAGTCTTATTTCAAAAGCTGTTCGCGAGCACCTATTAAGGCCGGCACGGCACACGAGGGGATGGATCGACCAGCGCCACACATCTTGTCTCCACGGTGACGCTGTTTGCAATGCCCCAGCAGGTACTCATTTGAGGCCGAGTCGACCTAGAGGGGGGTAATCGAACTCGGGTCGCCGGGTTCGTTGCGTAGTTCGATGCGAGCCATCCCGCACCTCCGAATTAGCACGGTGCAAAGGAAGTTTGGCGTACGGTGCGCGCGCGCACACACACACACAAACATTCGTCTGTACGTATTCTTCCCCGCAAGAGCCACTCGCGTTCAGGGCAGGGATATGCAGCAGCAGCAGCAGCAACCTGTTGCTTGGGGGAGTGCGGAGAGGGAGCGAGAGCGCGAGAGCGGGAATCTTCCATAATTGACAAATCCCCCACGTGCATGCGAGAATGGCAAGAACCACGGTGGTGATGGTGGTGATGGTGGCGGTGGTGATGGTGGTGATGGTGGTGGTGGCGGTGGTGGTGGTGATGGTGGTGGCGGTGGTGGTGATGGTGGTGATGGCGATGGTGGTGATGGTGGTGATGGTGGTGATGGTGGTGGTGATGGTGGTGGCGGTGGTGATGGTGGTGATGGTGGTAGTGGTGGCGGTGGCTCCATCCATCTGTGCGTGCATGCGCTGGTACATGCTCTGTGACGATCCGCGTCACGGGTTACACACACGCATGTGTCACGCATGTCGGTCACGCATGGGCCACGAGACATCCACCTGTGTTTTGCTCGTTTGTTGGGTTCCTCGCTAAGCTACGGCCACCCTCTTGCCCCCGGCCCCCCCCCCATGATTCTTCCGCGTGAATGGGTGGCGGGGATACGGGGACGTGTCACGCGTGTTGTTGTCATGTTCTCACCGTAGACAACACGTGGGTCGAGCAATAACCCTGCTGTTGCTACGCAGAGAGACGGACAGACACACACACACAGGGAGCTATAATTCCCTGCACGAGTGTTTGTTGACCGCATGCACCACGGTGGGCCCGTGCCGACCATGGCTTTCACGCACTGCACAATGCGTGTGCGCGAACGCATGTAATATGTGGGTTGGGCAATAACCTATTGCTGGGTGTGCTCCGAAGGAACACACAGAGAGCGAGAGAGAGACGCAGTCATATCTCCCTGCGAGAGAATGTGCGGGTGTGTGCGCGAATGTTTATCGCATGCGCCCGATGCCTTGCGCTGTGGGCCCCTGCGTAGCCGAAGCAATGGCATGACCGTGCGTGTCGGTGCCATTGGCACGTGCGTGCGTAAACACGCATCGAGCAACAACGATCAGCGGCACGGGAGGAAACGTGAATGAGTCCGTGCGAATGGGGAGAGCGTGGGTCCAAATGCATGCGGAAGGATCAGGAAGGTGTGTGTGTGACAGCACTTTGCCCCAACAGTCTGTTAAGGCTATATATATTGGAGGGGGGGGGGGTATTTTTAAATCCTTTATATTAAGTTCGCTTGCTTGCTTGCGTGCTTGCTTGCTTGCTTACGACCGTGCAAATCTTTCGGTCGTTTTTTAGCCCACTTCCCGTGATCCAATCGAGCTGACATTTTGCACACAGACTCGTTGTGCGAGACAATTAATGTTCGTGACATTTTTTTCCAAAATTTTACACTGTTTAGGGAAAACAAATTAAATATTTAATTACCAATTGCTTAATACTGGCAGACAATCATCTGACCCATAGGTGGCAGCCATCTCAAGCCAGAGGACGAGAGGACTCTAGCCGCCACGCATATAAATGATTTATAGCGCTTGCTTGCTTGCTTGCGTGCTTGCTTGCTTGCTTACGACCGTGCAAATCTTTCGGTCGTTTTTTAACCCACTTCCCGTGATCCAATCGAGCTGACATTTTCCACACAGACTCGTTGTGCGTGACAATTAATTTTCGTGAAAAAAAATTTCCTACATTTTTACACTGTTTAGGGACTTTTTTAAAAATATTTTGATTACCAATTGCTTAATACTGGCAGACAATCATCTGACCCATAGGTGGCAGCCATCTCAAGCCAGAGGACGAGAGGACTCTAGCCGCCACGCATATAAAGGATTTATAGTGAAAAACTTTGTTTTTACGGGTAAATTTTTTACGTGTTAGGGCGATGAATGATGTTGTTGGTTAGCCGGGGTACTCGGGGACAAAGAGACACTGGCATAATCCCCCCCCCCCCCCACTGTGTGTGTGGGGATGCGTGTCCACGCGCTCGATGCGCCATACGGGGCAGGCATATCACACGCATGTGGCATGTGTGTGTGTCTTTGCACTGTTATGTGCGTAACTGGAGCAACCCACCTGCTGTTGCTGCTGCTGCTTGGTACGCAGGGAAAGACACAGGTGGTCAGTCATCGTTTCATGCGAGCGAGCGTGTGTGTGTGTGGACAAGCGTTTATTAATTGCACTTAAATTCGGTGTTTCCACCCAACTAAAAGTGCACCTAGCCTGGCACAAAGCGCCGTGGCGACGTCGCCGCCACTTAGTGGCAAACGGCGGTTGTTATGCATTACGTGGTTCTGCGCTATGTTGGCCGTACACAGCCTAAGCATGTGCCTGTCATGTGTGTGTATGCATGACGTGCCGTGTGTGTGTGTGTGGCTAAAGCACAGCAAGTTGGTACAGTAGGGGGCACAGGTGGTGCATCAGCCAGTCATCTCGGTCATCTCGGTCAGTCGACCCGTGGCACCTAGGTCTGCCCCGTGACCTCCTGCCAGCGGACGTTCGACACGTCACGTGGCCTCAAGGTGCACTTGGCCTGGCACAAGCGTCGTGGTGACGTCACCGCCACTTAGTGGCGAATGGCGGTTGTTGTCATGTATTATGTCAGAACGTACACGTGTGTGTAGGCTGTAGGTGAGTGGTAGCGCATCGGTTAGCGCGTTGTGCTACGAACCCGGCGACCCGAGTTCGATTCTCGCTCACGGCCAAACACCGGTGGCGGATGTCTCAATCGGTCCTGGGCCTTCCCCCTAGGTCGACTCAGCCTCAAATGAGCTACCTGGTGTGATGTGTAAACATAAACCACTGGGGAATAAAGGCGGCCGGCTGTAGTTCTGGTGCTGGCCACACACACACTCAC